CAACATAGTTGCTCATTAATGTCAGTTGGATTCCCCAGTAATCTGAACATTCTCCAGTGTAGTACAGATTTCCAATATTGCTAGGGTGACGACGATACTCTTAGACTGAGTAGTCCAATAAAATACTAAAAATAAGTAAGTACAAATGCACAAAAAAACCAGCCATGGATATACAAGTTAGCATACTGAACTCAATTTTATAAACGTAAGAAAATGAGGACATAGGTGCAGTGCAGAGTGTTAAGCACCCACTACTCAGCATGCATGAGGCACTGAGCCTGAGTCCCAGCAAAGCCAGAGACAAACAAAACACAAAAAACATCCTTACACTGACTGAAAAAAATTCCTTAATACAGTCAGCAAAATTTCTCTGGAGTGTTGAAATTGACTCAAAAGACTTTCCAAATAAGATTTTTAAGGAATAATAACAGCAATTCCAAGACATGAAAACAAGAATGTTTTAAAACACAAATATGTAATGAACTACAAAGGAGGGGTTAAGTAAGCAATTCACAAGATTCTGAAAGGATTCATAACTAGAAACAATGGTTTATACGTTTTGTAAACTACATCCCCACACAAAAAAGTGAAATATTGCTGCTCACTTTTAAAAATACAGCTGAGGATTTAGCTCAGTGGCAAGGTGCCTGCCTGGCAAGTGCAAGGTCCTGAGTTCAATCCCCAGTACCAAAAAAGTTTAAAAAATAAAAATAAAAAAACCTGTCTAATAGTAGGATAAGATAGAAACCAAGATTCAGGACCAAGACATGAACATTTTTAATATAAAAAAGAAAGAGAAAAGTGGTGGTATAAATAAATACATAGCGGGGCTGGGGATTTAGCTCAGCGGCATAAGCGCCTGCCTTGCAAGCAGACAGTTGTGAGTTCGATCCCCGGTACTGATCAAAAAGGAAAAAGACAAAAAAATAAATAAATAAATAAATAAGTAAGTAAATAGCTTTCCAGCATATAAACAGAAATACAAAGATCTTTTACAAATAGTAACTTTAATAAAGCAATTTAATTTCCCCTATATGAATCCACACAATTACTGAGATCAAAATTTAAATGAAAACACATAGATACTGGAATTTACTATAGTACTGTATGTAGCATTTATTTTGAATGGATAAAAGTTCTACTACTTAATAAGTGGTTCAATATAACTGGGTGACAGTTGAAAAAAGTATTATTACACCGTAACATAAAACTGTAAGAGAAAAAGACTGCAAAATTAAGAAAATATATAAAGGAGTTGGTGGGAAAGTATACCCATGCTGAATTACGCATTCTTTTCTAACTTTGATAAGATATGGGGGGGGGGGGGCACCGTTGATAAAATAAGATGGCACTAAGGGCAGGAACACACATACTAACAACACGGGAAAATAAGCTGGATTATAAATCTATCAAAAGATACTCGATTCAAGAAAGGTAAAATTACAAAAACGATCAGCTATAGCTTGCTAGTAATACCTGTGCTGATGGGGGAAGGAAGAAAAATATGTATTCAATCCTGATGAAGTATACACTGGTAGAGCATCTGCAGAGGACAACTCAGCAGTAATTGTAAAAATTAAAACTAACCCATCATTTGGCACCAGGTTAGATGAGCAAATCTACGTGAAATGAGGAGTAGCTCAGAGCTTCAAGGCAGATCGCATGATTACGGTCAGCATTTAAACGCGGTATGGGAAGATGTGGAAGAAGCTGTGACCACTACACACAGAGACTGACGGAGAGATGCATGAAGAGATACACAAATCAATGAAACCGAGGGTCCCAATGCTCCCTGTCCAGGGAGACAGTGTTGTGCTAGTTGCCCGTCCACTAAGAGCTGGCTAAAATGGGAATCCAACCTGTGTGGCAGCATCTGGCTGTTCAGCTGCATCAGACATCCGGAGGACAAGGCTGCACACACAGTGAAGCTGAGAAATGGCCAGAGGATTTACCAATGAAGTGAGTTGATTTGCAAAAACCCTTACAACATTTTAGCTAAGTACCATTTTTGTTTTTCTCTTAGCTTTCCATTAGACATGTTCACCAAGGTACTAAATTGTTTTTCAGGAGGTTTGCTCTATTAGTCTTGCCAACAATGTCTAGCTGTTTTCTTTAAACTTGATGTTTCCTTTTGGATTAAAAAAAAGAGATATCCAAATGGCTCATAATTGGGAAAGCTCCCAAAATCACTAATGACCAAAGAAAACAAACAGATCCAAAATGGCCTCCAGCACACACTCACCACAACAGCTAACATTAAAAGCCCTGACAGAAGCAAGTGTCGGTGAGTTCGCTGAGTAAGTGCAACACTCACACTGTTGCAGGGGGTACAAGTGGACACACATGCTCAAAAAAATCAGCATATAAAGGTGAACTATAGACGTCGCTTAGCTATGACCTCCAGAGAAATGCAATGAAGAAAAAAATGCACCCAATGTTGTACAAATGTATTCACATAGCACCCTTAAGTCATCTGAGTCCAAAATGAAAACAATATAGGCCAGAACCTGGGATGACATTGGGCATACTGTGGAATGCCATGCGGCAATAAACACGACCATCATTACATGCAGTGGCACTGAAGACTTCTCAGGAACAATGTTTGACCCAAACCATGCTCAAAGGCATGTAAAAATTATACGATTCCATTTATATAAAGTCCAAAAAGAAGTACAAAACAGTAATCTCTGGTTTAGAAATCAAGATAGTTGGTTATTAACTGTATGAATCTCACCATTTAATGTTTAGTGTTTTGATTATTTTCCTTTTTTAGATTTTTTGCTAGACCAATGAAATTTATCAGTTCTTCTTTGCTACTTTTTAAGCCTCCCTTCAGAATATCAGGCCTTACAATATCTTTACCTCACATGCCAATCCCTTCCCTTATTTTTTCCTACTTCTCTCGATATTTGCCTGGATGAAATACATATTCAGAATGTTTCGCTTGTCACTATGTACTGCCAGAGGCTATCAACAGTTTACTTCTGGATTTACACTGCCACACCTCTTTAATCTCAATAATGCTTTTTACAGAGTACTCTTATTATTCTCATTATCGGGTTTCTTTTGGACAAACTTTCACTAGACACCTCATACTTATTATGGCACCATTAGACACTTGTACAAGACATCTCAGGCTCACAAACTATTTTGGATTTTCCCTGCTTTAGATATAAAATCAATTTCCTGAAGAAGTGATCTGTTCTGGTATTTGAATCTAGGGCCTTTGCATAAAGTATATTCACAGCTCTTTTTTTATTCTGAGATAGACTTGCTATCTTCTTAATTTGCCTAAGCTGAGCTTGAATTTGTGATTCCCTCCTGCCCCAGCCTCAAAGAACCACTAAAATTATAGGCTTACACCACCACACCTAGCTGAATACTGACCATTTTTATATTTTTCTGCTGCTTGAATCTCAAATTGCTAACTTGGGATCTCGACAGCAATGCTCCTCTTTCTTACATCATTTATTTAATCTTGTTACTACCTTGTATTAGTAGAGAAATCATGCCAGCTCATTTTTAAAGACTTCTGATGTACGGATCATTTTGTTGACTAAACTTTTATTTGCTCTGTATTCTCTAAGCATTTGAGAGTTGTATGTCCAACCATGTTCAATACTGTATTTTCTCTAATTAAATGCAGTATCTATCTTTAACTGCAGCTCTTGGAGGCTGCACTCTTGGAGGCTGTAGTAGGAGGATCACAAGTCTGAGCCAGGACTATGCATCTTAGTAAACCCTGATTCAAGATAAAGAATTTTAAAAAGGGTTGGAGCAAAACCCAGTGCACAGCCACTGGGTTCAATCACCAGACTGCCCCCCCCAATCATCAAAAGGACTCTAAATAAATTCACTTTATAGAATTATTTTCTTTAAAATAAATATTTTTATCTTCTCATGACCCAGAGAATGAAGATTCCAAGTTTGAGGCGTGCTTGGGCGACATACCAAGCTGACTGCAGGCCTAGGCTATGTAAGTGACACTTGATCTCAAAAAACCAAATTTATCCTCTCAAAAAATACTTTTGAACTCTTCAATGCTAATTAAATATATTTCAGAAAGATGTGGTTATTTCCTTTACATTGTATCCTATATGGAAAGGAGGTAAGTTCACAATTGGATAACACAGTTCGTAGTTCAGGGCCCTACTCCTCCAAGGTTTTCAACCTAATAATTGCTCCCGGAAACCACAAATATCCTCTGCAATAGTGTTTTGGTGGAAGGTTTACAAGTAGCCAATATCCAGGGGACTTATTCAGTTCTTGCTGCTGACGGGCTGCTGCCCCGTCAGCAATCTCCAGCCTCGCACAGCTGTCCATACTGCGTGCAACTATCCATTTTGTTCTTCTTAAAGCCCTAATCCTGCCATCAAAACAGCCTGTATTAGTAAATAATACAGTATTTTACTAAGCTAAGTTACATAGCTGCAGAAGACATAGCATATTTAGGGTTTAAACTACAGATATTTATAGGCATTTTTTGGACCATCTCTGAAATTTGCAGATTTTCATAATTCTCAGGTGCTCTAGGAATGTAACCCCCATGAATTCTGGGGCTCTACTGTCAACCACAATGAGTTTTACTAATGAAATGTTTAATATGACTAACCTACTTATTTTTATAAAAGGTAAATAAGGTAAATACTGTTATTTTATTAGTCCTCAGACATACTTTTCACACATGAAAGCAAATACCGCTTACTCCTGATGGCTTACAGGCAATAGTAATACAGTGAGATAAACAGCAAATTAAAAAGGAAAACCAAACGACTGCCAAATAATTTGTGAGGACTGAAAGTAGCAACCCAAAAGCATACACTGAAAAACTCTTAGCCTGAAATTTAAAAACTATATATATTAACTACAAAGTACTTTTTAAAAAAGTTTGGTACTTTTCATAAGTTTTGCACACTTCCACTGTACTTCAGAAGACTATTTACAGTTGTACACTTCAGGTATAATCTGTTACTAGTTAAAGTAACCATCTTATGACTTACCACAGCAAGTTGTGTCCTTGAAGCAACAGTGTGAAAAACTGCAGGCATCATAAGAGATTCTTCAACTTTTATTTCCATGTCATTTTCGGTCGAAAACGTAGTTTTAGGAATAGCAGGCGCACGATCACATAAGATCATTTCTTTGTTAAAAAGAAAAATTGGATTCGTGTCCTATATTTTTAAAAAAGCAGAAATAACTGAAATTAAAATGTTACAAATTCTGAACATATACATTTCCCCAAAAATCTGAAGCAGATTAGCTTTACTTCTGAACAGTCCCAGTGGAACGCCTCTACTGTCAAGGCCCTTAGTACGAAAGGACCTGGTCCTTCTACACCTACCGTCCCAGCGCTATAGGTGCACACTCTTCGATCTGCAGCCATGCATTCTCCTCCATTGACCACCAGCACCTGGTGCTGAATAGCAATCTTGTATTTGCTTTGAATGGCATGTTTAAGGTCTGCCACACTTCCAAGAAAAAAACCAAAAATCAGTTATTTACACTGACTTTATTATCAAAACAGCACTTCATAATAAATACCCAATGGACAAGCAAATCTCATTCTTAAACTTTCCCCAAAACATAGTAAGAAAACAAAGTTTCCTATTCCTTGAATTAGATTCCCCATTTGCTGTATCTAATCTGAGAGTAAACATCATGACAGTGCACTTGGAAGGGGACCCAGAAGAGTGAGCCACGTAGTGAAATCAAGGCCAGGCAGGAATACACGACGAGAGCCTAAGTAAACAAAGTCTATGAAATACACTGGCAATCTGTATCATGCATAAACCAAGGAATATGCTTATATTGGCATCAAGTCTATTAAATTCGTGCAAACTCAAAATTTGTTAAAGTCTTCACATCATGGTATAGAAACTCTATTAGATCTAATCCATGAGAAAATTCCTTGTTTTCCTACTTTCAAAAAAACTGTTCTCTAGAGGTAAAATGCATTGAATGAAAGTTAGTCTTTTTTAAAAATAAAATAACCCCTTATTACCATTTTTCAAACAAAGATTTCTGGTTAAACAAGCTGCAATGATTTGAGTATCAACTAGCTATGGTAATTCAGTTTGTGTCTCAATTACTTGGGAGGCTGGAACAAGAGGATTTGCTTGGGCCCTTCAGTTCCAATCCAAGACACAAGGTCTAAAAACTCAAAAAACAAATACTACTTCCCTATTTTCCTACTTGTTTAGCCTCAAAATATAATCTCCCGACCCAAGCACTCTCCCCAGTTTTTACAAGTATAGACAGAGGCACTCGACAGTCAGACATAGCACTTGAAATCCCAACAAGGTGAAGAATTAGACAAAGTCCTACTAATTTGGCTAAAATTTTAACATCACTTTCTTTTCCCATTAACAAACCTATTAACTTTATTCATATAAGGGAATAGAAAACAGCCAAAAAGAAAGAAGTGATACATATTGATTCACAAAGCTATCAGTGACTCCTTTAACAGTGTCCTGTGAAACAGAGGATGGTGGCACATGTTGTAATCCCAGCACTCTGGGAGGCTGAGCAGGAAGATTTCAAGTTGTCCAACCTAGGCACCTTAGAACCTGTCTAATAACATAACATAATATAACATTATTAAGTAAAAGGGCTGTGGCTACATCTGAGTAAATGTGTCCAATTCACAAGAAACAGGTAATTCTGAATAGCCTAGATTAAAACACATTTAAAGAATTTAGAGCTGCAAAGAATGGTGGTGATTATATATGTGATATATTACAGGACTCAAGTGCACTTTAACATTTCACATATGTAGAAAATGTAAAACTGAAGGGCCAGGCATGGAGCTCGGTGGCACAGCACCCGCCTGGCAAGCGCAAGGCCCTGAGTTTCACTTCTAGTATCAAAAATAAGTATCAAATAAAAAAGCAAAACTGAAGAGAATGAATGAAACACAACTCACGTCTGCACTGTAAGTTCAGTGTCAAATGTTAGAGTAGTTCCAGTGTTAACCAGAAATACATACAACTTCATGATGATCTCTCCAGATTCTGTGAGCTTAAACCTCACCTTCTGATACAGTTCCTAAAAGAAAGGAAGGGGAAAATGTGGTCAGCTGGTCATGGCGGTGCATGTTTGCTACCCTAGTGGCATTCCAGAGCCTGGGGTGAGAGGACTGGAAGACTGAGGGTTCTTGGCCAGCCTACGGTACTTAACAAGTCCCAGGCCAGCCTGAACTAACGAACAAGACCTGGTCTTAGGCCAGGTGCTTGTGCGCAAGTTTTACCAGTAAATCATCATTCAGTCTTGTCATATAAATGACAAAATCTAAATGAATTCTGATGCCCAGGATTACTGAATGGACAATTTGGTAAGCTCTATGCTTACAAATAAAAAATGAGATTAGTGAAAAATACAATTTTCCGTTAAAAACATTTGTTTTCAGACAAGTAAGACACCAGATTATTAGGGGAAAAGTTGGTGTGGAGTTTATAGCTTTCTACATTAAGTATAAAACGCTTGAGGCAGGTGTGGAGCTACACACTAGTTTGGAGGCTAAGGCAGGATGATCGCAAATTCTAGCTCAGCACAGGCAATTTAGCAACTTAAGTCTTTACCCACTTCTTTTTTCTAAGAACTAGAAATAGATCAGTCTTTATTTTAATAAAAACAATTATTATATTACTTTTTCAAGTTAGGGGGAAATAAGTACCAATTCCTTCTAGCAGCTGCCTCTACCTTCACAGTGAGCCATAAATGTTTCAAAAGAAACTCTCACACCCCGAAAATACAAAACCAAAAAACGTAAAGCATCTGGCTCTAACAGTTATGTCACTTTACAGGGCTAGAGATAAGAACACTGTCCAAGTTAAAAGCTCTTCTATCACAAAAGCTTCCTCATCTAAAACATGTAAGGGTAATACGTAGTGTGGTGGCACACGGGTGTAATCCCAGCACTTTGCAGGCTGAGGCAGGAAGATCACCAGGAGTTCACGGCCAGCCTAGACTACACAGCCTTACGGGTAGGGGAGGGGTGGTATAAAAGGAACAGATTTCATACCTAGTACAGTGGTGCTGGACTCTCGCCATTGTGCCCTCTGTATCATTAAAAGCTCCTAAAAGGTTCGTCATCATGATCTACTATTTTATTTTTAAAAAATGACTGGCTGAAATCTCACTGATTAATAAACGTGGTATAAAGCAACTATTAGTCTTCAAAAACTAGTAGGTACCTTTGAAATTAGGTTTCAAAAAATCATTCTGAATGTATGAGATCCAAACCTTAAGTTGTAATGGCAGTTAACTGCAACTCACCGTGAGGCACTGTGAAAAGCAGTACCACGTTTCTTACAAAGCAGATCAAAACTGGCTTACGTTTGCTTTGTTTGATATTGGCAACTGAATGGCATTACTGGTTAAACGCAGAGAACTGGAAAAGAAAAATTTCTGAATCACTACACAGAGAAACAATTCAATGAGTAACAACATATAGTTAACATTCGATTATTTCTCTTCTTCCCTTTAAAATAACCGTCTTTGAGCAGTCTCATCTCAGCCCCCTTTCCTTTGCATATTCATGGAGACCACAATCAAGACTCAACTACCACATCGCTCCACTAAATGACTCCCCAAAAAACGAGGACAAGGAAAACAGAAAAGAAAAACTGCCCCAAAATATTATTTCTATAGCCACTTCTCAGTCCTTAATAAATAATGACAAAGAAACCAACTGTGGTGAAGGATTTGGGCCTGACCCAAGATATAATTCAGGGCAAATCACTTAACTGCTTTCAGTTTCTTCTTCTGTCAACAGGAATAAAGGGTTACTTGTAGCAAACAGCCTCTAAGATAGCACCAATTATCTGTGCCACCTCTACTTCCTGATGTCTACTCTAGAAAAATCCATTCCCTTAGGCCAGGCCTATAATGTCTGTAATCAAAAACAAACACAAGAATGATGGAATATTATGGCCCCAGTTGTTACCAAGATTTAACTTCTATCTTGCTAGCAAACTTCTCCTTGGCAGCTCTGCCATGTAAGCAGCCATACAGAGTTGAATGTGGTAGGAAACTTGAGGTGGCCAGCAACAGCAAGAAGCTAGAAATCTCAGTCTGACACTCAAGGAACTAATCTTGACACATGACATGAGTCAGTGAATAGATCCTTTCCCAGCTGAGCCTCCTAAAAGATAGTAACCCTGAATAAGATCTTGATTGCAGAAAACCCATCCGAGCCAAGCCAAGAATCTGCAATAGCATTTAAGTAGCTTCAGGAATGTAGCAATTTCTGATTCAGCAATGGATAAGCAATGCATATATATAGCACAATGACATCATGCTACAAAAATGTGAAGGGAAAATCGTCGTTAGAACACAGTGATGGGCAGGTAGGAATTCTTCCATGTTTGGGGGGGGGGGGGTTCCTCAGGCTCTGTCACCCTCGTCCAGAACTTACTTGCTCCTATGGCTGCAGCTATCACCACCACTGCTGAGCACTTGGTTCCAAACCCAGTCTCAACTTTTCTTAAATTTATCCAACGCTTCTGAAATTCAACAAGTTCAAGTTGATTTCCTCAAGTCATTTTTTTAGTTCTATATCTAAATGTGAACTCCTTATCTTCTGTTCTCCAACTTGCCCTTTCATTTTTCATTTCTCTCTGGATCAATGGAATCCACATTCCTCCAAGCTCTATCACATGCTGTCCTTTAGCCTAACTTTCCTAACAGGCAAAGAAATATCACCAAGTCTGCCCTGTAAATTCTAACACTTAGATATTTTCTCTCTCTCTCTCTTTCTCTCTCTCTTGCTAAGAACCTTAAGTCAGACTTTCTGCTTATTCTCTAGCTTTTTACAACAGTTTCTCTACCTTCCCTACATTTCCTCAATCCCTGATCCGCCATCCTCTACAACGCAGAGGTCATTCTAAATGCTAGCAAGTCATCTTTATCTGCTGCTTAAATTTCCTGGTGATTATTTTTATGGAAGCAGCTACTATTGTGCGTATTTACTATATCCTAGGAAATCATTCTACATGCTTCCGTAAAGGCAATGTTTTCACCTTTTCCTCACGAAAATCCTTTAAAGTGGATGGTACAGTACTATAATTGTTTTAGAGTAAGGAAGAGAACGAAAAAGTTAATGTTACAGGTGACTGATGATTCAAACCTGACACTTCAACTACGTATTTCTTGCTTTTAACAGTTACAGTAACTCCCAAGACACAAACCTGAGATGGCCTCTTCTGTCCTCAACTTCCTACCCAGATCCTTCCACTGCACCCACCACCAACTTTCTAACCCCAACTACTACACTGCTGAAATTCCAGGAATAAAACAAACTGCAAGTTTCTCACGATTGTCCAGGTGTGGTGGCAGAAGCCTGTAGTCCCAAACATTCAAGAGACTAAGGCAAAAGGATCTAAACTTTGAGGCCATCTAGCTCACAACTGAGCTAGAAGGTATCTCAAAAATTTTTAAAAACCTGGGGAGGCAGCAAGGTGGTAAAGTACCCAAGTTCAATCCCAATACCCCCCCCCACACAATTTATATCTTGTGTTAAGATCTGTAAGTCACCCATCGGACATCTACAAACCAAGATCTCTTTGGCTCATTCTTTAGCAAAAATCTATGAATTTTCCAACATCTACATTTTCCAACATGGTCACCTCTATGGCAATGACAAGGCTCCAGCTTATGCACCATCAACACACCCTCCCCACCCTTATGTTTATGGATGATGCAGACACACAATGGGCAGGACGCCTCCCCCATGCTGTGGTGAGACACACACACACACACACACACACACACCAGCTCCACCAACTTAATCAAGACTAAAGACACTACAAAACCAAATGGAATTAGATTTCAATTATGCTGGAGATTAATATCAAGTCTTTTAATAAAGTAGTCACTATAAAGCCAGTAAAATTAATGTGACAATAAAGTAGGTGACAGAGCCTTCAAGTCACAAAGCTGGGCTATGCAGTTAAAAATGAACGGGGTCCTCTAGGCTGTCCGCATTAAGCCCGTCCCTGCATGAAAGAAACAAAACGTGCACTGAGTCTGTTCTGCATCACATTACTTTCCTTCTAGTAGGCATTTTTCATATTATTACAAAATGACTAATAATACTAACAGCTCAAAGAATAGTCTCACTTGTGAATTCGCCATAATTTATTATTACTACTTCACAGGTTTTAATCTCACAGCATATACTCATTTGTTGTGTTGAGGATTGCTTCCACAAAATAAGAGTTTTAAAACTAAAACTGCTAGATAAAAACATTCAAGTATTTTGTGGCTACTTGAGTATGCTACACAATTGCTTTCAGCAATTTATACTTCTCAGGCAATATACACTGTTACAAGGTCACTGTATCCTTGCCAGTGTCACACTTCTCAATGCTTGCTAGCAAAATTGGTTACTTTAGATTTACATGCTATCTACAATTGCTCAGTTTCTTACTCCTTTACAGACTATCTACTACATGTCAGGCACTGTGACCGACATGGAAGGAAGCAGTAAGGCAGTTCTTGAACAAGGACCCTCAATCATTAGGAAAAAATGATAACACTCACCCAATAGGAATTATTTAAAGATTAAGCAAGGCAAAGTATATATAAGATGAAAGCATTCAACACAACTGACCAAGACAATTAATGCACTCGGGTTTATACACAAGTGCCAGGCATTTGTCATTTACCTCATTTCCAACAGCTCCTAAGAGCTATTAGTAACAAATAGCATTTTGAGAAGTTACTCCTGACCATTCTGGTAAAGCACCCTAAGTTTTTATCCCCTGTTACAGCTGTAAAATTGGAAGGTTTAACTAGAAGCTCCCATCTGAATCTTCACTCTGCATACTCATTAACTGTTACCAACCAAAACTTCCCTACAAATAGACAAAGAAAAATGAACTACACAGCAAATCAGGTATCACTTTCCGATGGGTCTGCCTGGGTTGATAACCTGTAAATAAATGTCACATATGTGGCTTTTATGGTCACAAATGCTCTTTATTTATTCCACATATCCAAGTATGGCACATGAAATTAATCATCATAGCTAACACAAGGGTGATTCACTGCACAATCATTACACTGTTTTATATGCATTAATTTATTGCAACACATGAAACATTAATATCATTAATGTTTCCATATTGAATAGCTTGAATTTAGATCAACTTGCTACATTTATTCAATAAAAATACCATGTGACTGGCTGGGATATAGAGCTTGATAGCAGAGTGCTTGCCTACCATGGAGGCAGCCCTGTGCTGAATCTACATTACATATACACCCTCCCTCCAAAACACACAAAAAACGTTTAAGAATCTTGTTATTATGGCTTTGTCTGGGTGGCCCCCAAGCCTCATGCAGTCACAGAGGTGGGTGAATCTAACATCTGTGATTAACTCGTGGATTTGCAGTAGCATTGGTGGGGTGAGTGCTGTACCCACGCAGGGGTGGGAAACCAGCATACAATATAGAAGCGGGAAGGAGATGCGTGCCTCCCTCTTGTACCTTTCTTTTTGCCCTTTCGCTTCTGTCATTTATGGCCACCATGAACAGTTGCCCCACAACCACACCACCCTGCCTCCAAAAACTATAAGCTGAATAAACCTTTCCTTCCCTAATTTTGTCTTAGAGAAAAAGTAATGAGAAAAGTAACCAAGACACTTGTACAGACAATTTTTTTCTTTTGCTCTGGTTAAGGAAAATAGAAGTCACTAAGAAGCAAGTCCTCCCTGCAAATCAGCACCACATGCAAGCCACTGGGCGGGGGAAAGTCAGACCTGAGCCTTTTTCCATGACTTAGTGTCATTCCAACATTATGGGGGAAAAGAACAAGAAGTCACCAAGAAGCAAGCCCTCTCTGCGAATCCAGCTACAAGCGAGTTTCCAGGGGCAAGAGCCAGGTGCCAGCCCCTCCCAGAAAGGGGGCTGGGCAACAAGAAGTCACCCCGACCTCCCCCACCCTCACCCCTACCCAATGATGGCTGCTGTAGTAAAATACATTCAGAGGATGGCAATAGCAGTGTGGCATCTATGGGGATCTCCTTCTGAGGTGGTGGCCACTGTTGATTCTCTACTGTCTTGCTTTGGAGTTCAGTACATTTTCACTGTTTTGTTGGGTTGGGTTCTGTTGTTTTATTTTGTAGGACTTTATGGTATCCCATGGCATGGGCAGCTGTTTCAAAGATAACAAGACATATTATGGCAGCCATTTCAGATTTACTACTATCTTATTCTGAAGTCCTTTACTGCATTCATTGCTTTGTTTTTATTGGTTCTATTCTCTTCTGGTTTGTTCGATTTTTACTACTTCTGAAAGTATCTGCAGCTATTTTGAAGGCAGCAGGGGACACTGGTAACCATTGTTGATTTCCTATTGTTTTTGAAGATCTATGTCACTTAACTGCT